GTCCGGGCTGGGGATTCGAACCCGCCACCTTAGGTGTACGTGGCTGGCGCCCTAGCCGGTTGAGCCACAGGCGCCGAGCCTCATTTGGTGTATTTCTATGAGACTCAAGACTTATCTTTTCACCACTAAATTATTCCCAGTGCTTGGAACAACGCTTGCACTTACTAAATGCGATTGACTAAATGAAAATCTTCATCCCCTGAATAAACGATCGTCAGTGACCCCACATACTACTCTGTACCGAGAGGAATGAGAACAATGTGACGACCTGGGTCTTAAGACAGCCATCACTTTAAAAGCATGTGTGACAAATGGCTGATCAGTCTAGTGTACTCTGAAGGGTGCTCTTGACAGGGAGGCATTTTACCAGCCTGGCTCTCGTTTGGATTACCGCCTGTCTTGCCTCAAATTATAATGGTGATGGTGGGGGCGGTGGGGGCGGTGAAGACGGTGAAGACGGTGGGGCTGGAGATGACGGTGGTGAAGATGACAGTGGTGGTGGTGATGGTAACAGTAGGTGATGACAAAGATGGTGGTGACAGTGACCATTTCTAGTGTTCCTGGTAGATTCCAGCCACTTTATGTGCACAAGTACTTATATTCAGAACAAGTCTGGCCAAGCAAGCATCACAGTCTGCACTGTTGAGGGGAATTAACAACAGTGCAGAGAGTAACTGGCCAGTCAGATACGTGGCTAGTAGCAGGATGAATGGCTGAAGCCAGGCCTGACCCAGCACTTACACTTCTCCCAGCTGGCCACTTTGAAAGAAACTGACGGACAGTTCCCATCACTCCACCCCTCCAAGGCAATGGTAAAGATCAATTCTGAGTTAACACTATGGTTTCACTTCCCCATACTGTCTCATGATGTCACAGATATCAGATGGACAATACCACATTAACAGGTTGTAAGACCAGCGCACTTCTGGTCTCAGTCTTAGAGAAGCCTTAGAGAAAATAGGGTGCTTCCCCCACCCCCATTTTTGTTAGCAGAGCTGGGAGAGAGAAGGGTTAAATTGTTAAGCACAGAACAGATGGTGGCGAAGTAAATATTATGAAAAATTTTTACTTAATTAATTCAGAACATGAATTTTCTCCTTTCCTCTGCCCCCTGTAGCAAAAAATACCCAGTTTCCAAACCACTGACCTTGTGAGTTCCTCTTGGAGTTGTGTGTGGTCAGGTGGAAAGAATTTCACTACAAACTTAACAACGACATGCTTTGGCCCTAAAGAAGGAGAAAAAAAGCAAGGAAGCTTTTATTGATTTGTGTTTCAAATGCATTAAAGAAAAAGACTTACGGGGCATATTATGTACCAAATAACACATCTCCTCCCAAGCTCCTAAGAGCACCTCTGCTGACCCTCAAGTCACCCAACAGCTAGCCGAGTTTGGCTACTGACACTTCCAGACTGTGGGGGAGCAGGCAGATACTACGGCACAGGTATCCCCTTGAGCTCGTAAACTTTTTCTCTGAAGACGTAAATAATACTCAGGCGTAAAAAAAAATTATACCCAGGTGTTTTTAAAAATATATCTAATTGGCTGCTTTTATCCAAATACAGATTTTAGATAATTTAAGGAAAATAAAATTAAAATGTAAATCGGTTTTTAACTATTTAAAAGGTACAGTTGCTAATGTGTTCATTAATGCTTTGAGCACCTAGGTGCTCTCCTGAGCTCAGGAGAGAAAATGTAAACAAGACTTGGCCCCGCCTTTGCCGGCTAAAGCCTTTGTTAGTGTCTTATACACCATCTTACCACCCATGAGTTAAGACAAAATTGGGAATCAGATGGGGGAGGTCAGGGAGGGAAAGAGACTATGAATAATGTGAGTAACTTTTCAGAATTAAAATAGAACAGAACAAACAGATTCTAAAATAATAATCTGTGATCTGGATAGAAGTTTTCTGTCTTAATGTGCAAGGTACAAATAATAAGGCCATTTGGTCTGCCCAATGGAATTATAGCATGAATTTACATTCTATGAAATATGAGGTACTATAATGAAACCCCAATTTTAACAGTAGTGTTATAAAAGTAGAAAATGTCTTTCTGTTCTGCTTTTTATGATCAAACCCAAAAAGTTGATTTTGCGTTATAATTTCTGTGACCATACATACGAGTTTAGGGGGAAAAAAAAAACCCCAAATGTGATCATAAGGTAAATATGTCAGCAATGTATACAAAAATGTCAGCAATATATACAAACGGGAAACACTGAAGCCAAGACAGGCCAAGCTTCTTTCCCCTAATAACTCTAAAAATTAACAGAAACCCTTGCATGTTGCCAGTTCTGGAGCACAAAGTAACAGCAGCAGAAAGAGGGGGACAGGAAGGCTGCGACTTCCTCTGGGCAGTTTTCACAGGGAGGAGACTCAGCAAGGCTGCCCAGATCCTGGGAAAACCTGAAGCTGGAAAGATGCTGCCACTGGATGCAAAGCGACAGCTTTGTCACACTGGGCCAGTCCCAGCACAGGGAGGAGACAGACAACAGCCCTGCTGGTCTCTCGACCCCACATCAGTGAGTCTGTCCTCAGGGCTGCCCCGAGGACAGTGCTTCTCTTCTTCCCCTCCTAAATGACTGTGGGCAAATGTCAATTTTCCTCTTTCCATGTCACCTGGCCCCCTAACACGGGGGCTTTTCTTAGCACATCCACACACAGACACACAGACACACACACAGGATGAGGACACCCAAGGACCATTATATGGTGGCTTTTTAATTTTCAGCATCAATAATTGCTTGATTTAAATTACAGAAGATCAACATCAATTTCCATCATGGCAGGGCTACAAAGCCATGGTACTGTGTGTTCATTACACCCACATAAACTGCTCTACGGAAGCAGTGGGGTTTTCTTAATCAGATATGGAAACAATCCCACCAGGGATGTGGCTTTGACGCCATCCTCAGACTTCTGCCCCAGCTCTGGCGGCCGGGAGGGATTATTTGGAATGACTGTGTGGTCAGAGCCTGACCTTGAATTTTACTGCAAAGCAGAGAGAGGGGGCGAGAGCAGAGGCAAGGCAAGCGTCCGCTCCCCTTTCTCCTCTCCCACACCTTCCTTTATCTTTTCTTTCCGACACAGTCTAGATGTGTTCCCTTCCCAGTGCTGCTTGCCATTCAGAAATGTACACGTGTGCACACGTGCTACAGGGCACCATTTTTCCCAAACAACTGGCATTCGGATTTCACAGGTTTTCAAGGGCGAAGGAAAGAAAACCTAAAATCAATTTAGTGAATAAGTGGCTCTAACTTTCCTTTTTGACAGTGACGTGAGGAACAACAGTACAGACAAGCCTGATTACTCTGGGGCCTTCTCTAAATAGCAGGGTTCAGTTGTTAATCAGAACGATATTTGACTTTCCAAGCAAGGTTTTGATTATCAAATTAAACATCATTAAAATTTAACATTAAACATTAACTCTTAAACATTAAAATTTCAGAAGATACACATTTTAATCATGTGTGAAGTGGATGGTGAAAGGTAATCCAGAGGTAAAGGAAGCGTTTCTGTCACAAGGGCTTCATGCCACAGGGCCAGGGGGTCGTCCAATTTCACATCCCAGTTCTATACTTACTTCGAATCTGTTTCACGATAGGTTTTAAGAGGTCCAGCCACACCTAAAGGAGAAAAAGAACAGATTAAGACAACTTCTCAATGAAAGAGTACATCTCAAGACTATTTGAAGCTATTTAACATCAAAATATTTTTGATATTAAACATCAAAAATAGGGGTCACATGGGGCTGTCTGTTCCTTTTTTCCTCCAGAAAGCCATTTCTCACATTCTCTTCCACTTTCATAGACCCAATCCTAATTTGCTGATATCATCCCTGAGCTTGAAAATTGAACCCTCTCCTAGACTCAGATAAATAGTTAATGGTTAACTAACAATTTTTCTAATTCTATTTGTACTTTTTCTGGAGACTGAGTTTCACTTTGTCGCCCTTGGTAGAATGCCATGGCGTCATGGCTCACAAGTGATCCTCTTGCCTTAGTTTTTTATTTTTAGTACAGACTGGGTCTCACTCTTGCTCAGGCTGGTCTGGAACTTGTGAGCTCAAGCAATCCACCTGTTTCGCCATCTGAACTTTTATTTGATCTACCTATCTGGAAAATATTAATGAATGATTGTATATCTGCCTACTAGCTGGGTGAAATATGCACGCTCTTATTGAAACAGAATACATCACATGTGAGCATGTACAAAACAGCACGTCTTTGAGGGGTATGGAAAAAGGACACATATTTATAGAATAGCACCTCTATACCACACACTATTTGTCAGCTGTTCACCTCTCCAGACAAAGCTAGAAGGATTCTTCTTACCCAGGATTGAAATCTGAGACTTGCAGAAGTTAATAATTCGCCCCAGGACTCTTAGCTAGAGAGTGGCCTAGAATCAGGTCTGTTCAACTTCAAAGCTGAGACTCTTTGTGACATGTGTGCTCCTTGGTACACAGATTGAGTGACAAAACTTTCAAATAGGAGAGGAACCAGCTGTCCTTATTAATAAAGTACAAGGTAACCACATCATCTCATTTCACAGGCTCTTTTCTTTAACTCCCCTTGAGCTTCTGTTCATTTAAAGAGTTCTATGGAAGTTCCTATTTGCATATATGACAAAAACAAATTTAATGCGCTTAATATAAAAAGGGTTTTATAAGTAAATAAGAAAAAGAAATAGCCCTGTAGAAAACTATGCAAAGAAACACGGACAATCTACAAAGAGAAAATGCCAAGGGCTAACAGGAAAATGTTTAAGTTCAGGAATAATTTGCATTAGAAATGCAAATTAAAACAATAAAATACCATCCACCCATTAAACTTGCATCTGGGCAGGGCAGTATATATATATATATACCGTGAGCTTATATTTTATAATACCCCAAGTTGGCCAGGGTGCAGGGAAGGAAGCAGTCTTACTCTATGAGTATATATGAATTGGTACAATTTTCCTGGAGACTTATTAGGGAATAAGCCTAGAAAGCATTATCCAACCATTCCAGTTTTGTAAATTATACATTTATGCACACAAAGATTGACGTACAAGGAATACTAATAGCAACACTTTATAGTAGTATAATTTTTATAATAACCTAAATAAAGGAAAAAGAAAATAACATATATCCATACAATATACTACCAGGCAGGCATTAAAAATTACGTTCTTGGCTCGGCGCCTGTGGCTCAACCGGCTAAGGCGCCAGCCACGTACACCTAGGGTGGCGGGTTCGAATCCCCAGCCCGGACCTGCCAAACAACAAAGATGGCTGCAACCAAAAAATAGCCGGGCGTTGTGGCGGGCGCCTGTGGTCCCAGCTACTTGGGAGGCAGAGGCAGGAGACTCGCTTGAGCCCAGGAGTTGGAGGTTGCTATGAGCTATAATGCCACGGCACTCTACCCAGGGGGACAGCTTGAGGCTCTGTCACAAAAAAAAAAAAAAATTACGTTCTTGATGAGCATTTTGAAACGTGGGAAAATGTGGCTGGCATGTCAGATGTTAGGTGATTTCTTTATTTCTTTTTCCTTTCTACGTTATCCAAATTACCTTAGATGAATACTCAGGAAAAAGAAAAAATTTTAAATTTCTACTTATCTGGTTTAACTTTCCTATCACCTTTCAAAATAAGTAAGTTTTTATGATAAAATCCTCATTTGAATGTTCCCCATCATCTACTACTGTGGTTTCCAACCCCAGGCTGTGGACCAGTGTCCATTTGTGGCCAGTTGGGACCCCAGGCTGCACAGCAGGAGGTGAGTGGCGGTGAGCAAGTGAAGCTTCATCTGCACTTACAGCCGCTCCCATCACTCACATCACCACCTGAGAGCTCTGCCTCCTGTCAGATTCCCTCTCCAGCCTCTGGTCCATGGAAAAACTGCCCTCCATGACACTGGTCCCTGGTGCCAAAAAGGCTGGCAAATGCTGCTGTGTTCTCTGCAAATGAAAAATCTGGCACTAATCAATCAATGGTGCCCACTGGCCTCGACCTTCAAACTGGAGAAAATAATCGTCTAGCAAAGTTCCATTTGTGAAATCTATTACTTTGCTCCCAAGAATACTAAAAGATAGAAAGGCTTATCTCCATATGATACTGGCAAAAAAACTGAGATTCAGAGAAAAGCTGCCAGAAGTTGGAACATGAACTTGGAAAAGCAAAGTGTGTCACACTCACATGTCCTGGAGACAGGAGGCACGGCACCCACACGGGGCCACATGAGGACACACAGAGTGTTCAGGAAGCAAAAGACAGCTGCCAGGGAGCACTTAGGCCCCTCCTGAGACCCCCCGCGCAGGGTGGGGAATAGTTCGGGACTGGCCAGTCTGCTCACTCGAAGCTATAGGGTGGTCCCCAGCTGCCTGTCACCAGGCCCTGGGATGATTCAGGCAGAGGGACATCACTTCCAGGGACAGATGGGCGGGATCAAAGTGGTTCAGCTCTGGACTGGTTAGTCTGTGTGTCAGAGGCAGACTCCTGGCTGGACGCTAGCTCTGAGGACTGGGTAAGGCAGTCTCCCCGGACACAAAGGCTATTTAAGGTGTCAAACATGACAAAATACAGAAAATTTAATATATATGTAAGATACACGTTCACACAACACATGGGAGGAACAGAGACAATGCTCCCTGAAAATGCCATTGTGCGGAGACCTGAGGGGAGGGAGTAAGCAGCACAGGCAGTAGAACCCTTGCCTGGGGCCCCAGGGGAAGACCCACAGGGCTGCAGAACAAGGAGGGGATTAGGAAGGGGCCCAGCCCCATCCAGCCCCCCTTAGATGTTTTGTCCTTATCCTAAAAGCAACGTAAGAATTTTCCACATGGGGCTGACATGATTTCATGTGCATTTAAAAAAGATTATTCTGGCAGTGTGAAGACAAGTTAGAAGGAGCAAAAAGGACGCAGGTTGATGTGTAGCAACTGTCCAGGGTGAGACAGGTTGGTATTTAGGATCAGAAGGGCGGACAGATGGAGAACTGGGGAAAGCGAGTGGATTCAAGATAAATTTAAGAGGTAAAAACCAGTGGAATTTTCTGATGGGCAGAGGAAAGAGTTCGACCATGATGACACCGAGGTTATGCTGCGTGTGCCCTCCCCAGAGACAGGGGAGGTGAGGGGACAGCCAGGACAGGGAGGGTCGAGCCATGCTGATTTCCTGGGCCACCTGGCATGGTGCAGCTGGCACAATAGGGAGATAAGCGCTCAGATGACACACCCAGCAGGAGGCCTCACTTGTGGAAGTGGCCACGACTCTGACTCCACGACGGATAAGGACAAACCAGAGAATGACGTGCAGGGCCCCTGGAGCGCAGCGGGGCACACAGGAGGAGAGAGGGAGATGGGCACACAGCCGAGTCACAGAGGCCATGGATGACAGTGCTTCCCCAGGAGGAGCACTGAGCTACTCCAAGACCACACAAGATGAGAACTGGTGTGTCTGGTGGTGGCTGGATTTGTGATGGGTCTGAAGACCTGGAAGAGGGCACTTGGCTTCATCAAGGGGTTCAGTGTGAAGCAAGAGGCCCAGGGCGCAGTGAGGGAGCTGGGGACTGAATGGGGGCACTGTCTTTGAACTTGGTTTTAACTGGAAAGACCTGGGTGTGGTTGAGAAGGGAAGAGGTTGAACACCTGAGTGAGACGGCTGTTCCACAGGGCCTGACACACGTGAGGAGACAGAGCTGGAACTCAGGGCACAGGCTTGGGACAGAAAGAACAGCTCTCTCTCCCCAGTGAGACGGGGGTGGCAGGCTAATGACGACAGCAAGGGGGCTGGTTTAAGTTTCTGTGTTCACAACAATGTCCCGCCATTTTACACAGGAAGGAAACCAAGCTCAGAGAGCTTGTTAAAGCTGCCCAATGTCACACTGCTGGAATTTGACATCAAATCCAGCTGACTCCAAACCTGTGCCTTTTCTGCAGCAAAATATGGTTTGTCCAAAGCAAAGGGACTCAACCAAAGCTCAGTTGTCCTCTTCTTGTTTCAAACTTTTTGTTTGAACCTCAAAACTGCATACAACAACAACAACAAAAGTCATCAAATGTCACATATAGAGCCAATAAAATGTTATAAAAAAAATCATCTAATGTCTAGAAGTCGCTGTAACAAATTAGTCTTTCTGTAGCTAACTCCTAAAAAAAAATACTTTATTTTGAATTTTTGTTTGTAACAATTTGTTTCAAAGTAATTTTTATATCAATTTAAATTACTCACTTTACATTTGGTTATACAGACTGCCCATAAAGTTCATGTGCAATTTACAACACCCAACTATTTTAAATACAGGACACCCTGTATTTAAAGGATATATTATGTGTGCTTTCTTTGTAAAAACCTATGACTTTTTAGAGATTTCCACTTCTGGTCAAAATAGAGTAACAGGGACTGAAGTTATTTCCTACAACCCATAGAATGGAAAAAATATAACGATAGGCTGGGCACGGTGGCTCATGCCTATAAACCCAGCACTTTGGGAGGCCAACTACTAAACTTGTCCCATCTCATTACTACTAAGACTTGTTCCACCTAATAAGTCTTAAAAGCCAAATCCAAAAGTATGAAATTGTTTCCCAATAACTGCATCCCAGAAAAATGCAATAGAATGTGTAGGAATATAAAAGTATC